TTTGAATTCCACCGTTGCAGCGGCCCACCACTGGCGGTTGAGCGCCATAGGTTGTGGTCGCGCGATCCATGCGATCGGAAGGAACGCCTCCTAAGAGCTATATGAGGCCTTCTGAAGATGTTGCGAATGAGAAAAACCCTGGCACATACTGCCGGCAGCCGTTGGTGAGTGATTTCTCGGAGAGTAGCTCTCTACCTAGGCCGCAGGCGCTATGTGTCAGCGAGTCTTTGCTCATCATGCTGACCGTGCGGACTTTGGAAGCTGTCACTACAACTACTTGCTTATGTGGATATCACCATCAGTGTCGGCAGCATGCGCAGGGTGCTAGGTTACCAAACGCATTACCGCTTTTGCGCCAGCATTTTTTCGACGAAGACTTTTCATTCGTGAGGCAATCCCTTTCCCGGTGCTCCGTCTTTCAGCACTACGGCTTGATTCACCACTATCCGATGAACTTGGTCGAGACGACTCGGCCACTGCTTTAGGTCGTGCCGACTCGGCGGCTGCTCTAGCCGCACGAATCTGAGAATTCATAACTTAAACTTTTAACTGACCACAACATCTACGTCTTTTGACACCAACATCACTATTCTAACCTCATTTTTGAAGGGATATTGCCATTTTGAGTCAATTATAATCATGTATTTGTCTGGCACAAGGCAGGATGACAGTTGTGTAAAATGGAGATATCCCACAGCAAACGAATCGTAGGCCATTTTGACGATTTGTAGTCTGACCTCTGATAACTGCCCTTGCCATGTGCGAGGCTTATGGGTTCGCAGCGGTAGTAGCGTACTATTCTCACCGATCAAAGGTGGACGCAAACGGGGCTGGAGGGTCGTGACCCGAATGCTGCTCTCGTAGCCCGACCACGCAATTGTCAAAAGTGCATCGCTTGCTCGGTACCAAGATCCCACAATGAAAACGCGCACTCAGCGGTAGAGAACGACAAGGGAGAAAGCACAAACAAGTAGCTCGTTTGGCTTCAGGCCGCGATCATACTTTGCGGCAGCGTCCACCAGCATCCACTAGCGAGCGTTCGCGTTTCGAGCGTACGTGAGCGCCAGCAACTAGGAAAGTGTAGATGGCGATCCATCAAAGCGGCGTCCATCAGCGTCTACCAGCGTCCACCAGCTTAATCGCATCTGCCAGCAATCATTACAGCCCCGAACAACTAAGAAAGTATGGGTATCGATCTAGCTATATTTCAGCGTCCACCGGTGACCGCGCGGACCCGCACGTCGCACGTTTCGTGTTGTAGTACTGGTCGATTGCACACGTCACATTTCGATGCCTAGTCAGCTGCTATTCTCTTCTACTTCCATGATCACCAGAATCTGACCTCGTACTTCCCCATTACTCCATACTCCTGGTCGCTTGAGGGGACGCCGGTATGCCGTTTTGATCGACCATCTGTCCTTTCCTAGTCTCGGAGCTGATGCGTCGCTAGAGGCCTGCCCAAATATGAACGCCTGCCGAACCAATTTCCTGCAAAAACACGCACTCAGCGTAGAGAACCGGAAAAAGGGAGCTGTTTAGACAAGCAGCCACGCTGGGCTATGGCTAGCGGTGAGGTCGGGGCTTGCCGATGGCAGAGTACGAAAGACATGCTCTCTGAATAAACGGTGCTTTCCACTCTCTTCCTGCGCGCTGTTTTTAATCTGAAAAAAAAAACTGGCGCGCTAGTGCAGCTGGCGGACCCGTTCACCTCACCCATGGCAAGGATTTTCTGCGGAGGTGAGTGTACACATATACACTCCAAACAGCCTACTTGAAACCTCATAGAACGTTAGGAATAGATGTAATCCTTACAGCTGCAAGTCTGCCGACGCAAGGAATTTGTAAGATTACGTTGCAATGTTGCCAATTTCTTGCCAATCGAATAACGCTCATTTGGATTGTCTGACCAGCACCGCACCTTAATGGCAATACTCAACTATAGGTACTACAAACTTATTCATTAGCAAGGTACAACAAGGAGGATTGACAGTACCGCTCGCCTCGATTTATTTTTTTTTTGTTGTTATTTTTTTTTTCGCATCTCCATTGCACGGTCCATATGTGAAAGGAGAAAAGCGTGAATCCTTTCAGCGTAGTAGCCAATTTCGCAAACCAGGACTCCAGACGGAAGAAGCAAGCCAGCAGTCGCATTTATATGAGAGCACAGACGCCTGGAACACGGAACTTCGTCAGTGGCTCGCGCGGCGTTGCCTGAAGATGCCCTGCTTGTTCTTCGACCGTATTGGCACTGCTAGTGCTCTTGCCATCGACCTATGCGTGCTAAAGCTCACTGACGAAATCCAGAATTCCGCTGTGTATTAGTTGTCCGGAAAGTTCTTAGCTTGTGCACCTAATCTTTGTACATTCACTGCTGATTAAAAACTCATTCTGCCTTGCTTCTCAGTAGCACATCCTGTAGAGAATTTCTTGCGCTATCTGATGGTATAATTGCCGTTTCACCATTGCTTATATTAATATCCTCTTTTTTCAACCCGGTTTTTCAAGCATTGTGAAAAGAGCACCGTCAGACGATTTTTTTCTTCGGCCTATAATACTTGGGGCAATCCGACCGCAATTTCTAAACATGCCTCTCAACAAATTAACCAGGTGTGGAGGCCCAATAGTGCTAGAGAAAGCACTGTGCCGCAATGGCTCAACAAATGTCGTTCTGGAAATTTCAGCCTTGAAGGTGAGCCTCATAGCGGTCGACCTAAAGCAATATCTGACGAGGATTTTAGGGGATTTTGAAGGTTGGTTGGACCCATCTCCAAACAGGGTCGAGAGATAGCAGCACAAAGCTACTGGCCTTGGCAAATCCAACTGGCAGATGGTTCTGGAACGCATTGGGAAGGTGAAAAAACTCGACAATTGGGTGCCCCACAATCGGAGTGACCGGCAGGAATCGGCACGTCTCGAGGTTCCTTCTTCACTGCTTTTGCGCAAAAGAATTGACCCGTTTTTGAACGGATTTGTCACCTCTGATGAAAAATATGGATTCATGTTATGAACTAACAGGAGACGTCCGGATCGAGTTGTTTAGCATTTGGCAGAACCACCGAGTAATTTCCAAAGCCGAACCCTCGCGAAAAAAAAAATTCTGGTCAGGTTTGGTGGTCATCGGCTGTTGTAATCCACTATAACTTTTCATCACCAGGCCAAACCATCACAGCAGAACCCTACTGTGAACAAACCGATCCAATATGGTACGAAAAATATCTGTCAATCTCAGCCAATTACTTATCAATAAACAGGGTCCGATCTTGCATGACAACGCCCGCCCACACGTTTCACAAATCACTATCCATAAATTGAACGAATTGGGAGTTGAAGTTCTACCTCACCCACCATATTCTCTAGACCTTTCACCAACCGACTGTCACCTTTTCAGACATTTTCAACTTTCCTGCTGAGAAATACTTCATCAAACAGGACCAGGCAAAAAAGACCTTCGCAGATTTCGTGGATTCTCGACCACCCAGTTTTCTTTGATGGGATTTCTCGACTGCTGCCACATTGGCAAAAGTGTGCTGATTCGAATGGTGCTTATTTGGATTAAATCCCGATTACTGTTATAGATAAGTTCATGACTTGTTTAAAGTTTTAAACACCCAAAACGCCTAAGAACTTCCGCATAACTTAATAGCGTACCAGTCCAATAGGGCGTGGTTCAGATACCTCACCGATTGTCTTCTGACCCTCCATCTGCCTTAGCCCCAAAGAGAATAATTCTTTCCCGAATAGGTTAGAGAAGCGTAGGAAGAACTCGTTGAACTCTACTGGAAGTCTGTGCTGTACGTTCCCTTATCAGGCGCGCGCGCGAACTTGTCGCCGACCGGTTTCTCGCTGCATACCAGCTCAACCCAAAAGTATGTAAGGCCAATGTTTTAGATTGCGATGACGCTAATCCAGCGCTCGTTGAACGCGCCTGCCCCCTTGCACGGGCTCGCATTCCAGTGCTATAACGCGATCGTCGGTCGCGTAGTTGTTGCTTTTGAACACGAAGATGATATGAGCTGTAGATTGTTGTCCTAACCTTACATCCTGGTTACCCTATGTCCCAAACACAATTCAAAAGCGCATACTTGCTGCTGGTGCTGCTCAGTACCCGTCCATGACTTGTCTTTCCGTCTTTATATTCACTTGCAATGGAAGCGCTCGGATAGCCGTCATTCGCGAAGTACTAAACGGCTGTTTAAGAAACTCAAGCGATGAGACCTTTACGGGGATCACGCCGTTTACTTTCCATACCTCTCATGGGAAAAGTGTCCGCCAAAAACTCACTTTGATGCAGACTTTTTACCATCAGGTGCCGACGGAAAAAATGCGCAATTCTTATGCGATACCCTTCTCTTTACCTGCAAATACGGCGAATCAGCCTTTGTAGATAGCTATTGCGGATGAGTATCTCAATAGTTTCTGCTCCAGACTTGTTCAAGCTTTTGTGACGCGCTAACATCGAGCTCAAACGAATAGCGCTAACATCGAGCTCAAACGGATACATTTCCTCTGCTCACACGGCTTCTTGCCAGTAACATGGCGGACCCTTCAGTCAGTAGATGAGAAGCGACTCCTCAGAAGCAAGGTACAACAACAATAAGGACGGTAGTTCCCGTTCAGGCCACTAAAGTAATTCTATCTCGACGACTTGTTCATGCTGCAGTTCGGATACAGTTTAGATGGATCGTCCTCATCAGAAGTATGCGGAGATGACGATCCGGGTTTTCGCTGAGCCGCCTGCCTAGCTGCCCTAACTGATCGGTAAGGACAGCTCTTCGTCCTGCAGCAGGTCTCCTGGACCGTGGAAGGGCTACACGAACCCGTCCCATCGTTCTCTTCTTCTCGTCTCCGCAACGGGACCGTGGCGACAAATTGAAGAAGCCACGCGTTGTCCTCTTTCACACCCACGCTGACTACGTCTCCTACCAGCTCGGTAGCTCTCCAAAGTGAACGAAGCTGATGGTTCCTCTGGCAGTACTTCAAAGGCAGCCTAATATTGGAGTTTAACCAACACTCTGGTTCACTTCCGCAACCGTCATGCCAGGATAGGGTTCGATTCCATTATTGTATATTTCCCAGCACATTATACCTGAACAAATGGAAGATTGTGAATATAATACTGACAAAATCATTCTACAGAAAATACGTACCGTAGCTGAACACATCAGTTTTCTGCGTGTAGATAGCCATCCTCAGCGTTTCGGGTGCCAGCCACCGTATGGGAACCCTCTTGTGTGGATCCATCTGATATACTGTGCCTTCTCTGGTCAAACCAAAGTCCGAAATTTTAACCTGAATAAAATTCACGCTCCTGCCTGGCACCATGTTTCTTGAAAAGAGCAAACAGCAGCCTTAAAGACACATTTCGCTACGATCGCTAATGATGTCTTCCTCATTGATGCTCCGCTTTCTCTAGTGCGGTGAGGAGGGAGAGCAGGTGAAACAGATTGGTTGAAAGCTCCGCCCACCATTCCGCCCACAAGGTCATTACGGAATATGCTCACAAGCGTATGAAGCTGAAG